ACGTTCCTCGTTGAGGCTCTCGCGATTCTGACAAGGGCCCGCCCTCCATCTGCGAAGCTCTCCCAAACGTTCGCAACGAATGCGCGCGGCGCTATGGCGAGAACCGCGCGCTGATGAGGGCCCGACCTCCATCCGCGACGCCCTCGCATGAGTTCAGAGCGAATGTGCGCGGCGCTATGGCGAGAATCACCCATTGGAAAGGGCCCGCCCCCCAACCGCAACGCCCTCGCAACTTTACGAGATGAGCACAGGTGCGCCCGCGAGAGTCACTTCCTGAAGCGGGCCCGCTTTCCACTCGCGAAGACCGAGCCAAATCTTCGACGACTGCGCGCGGCGCTGGGGCGAGGGCCACGCTGTGAAACGAGCCTGCCCCCCGTCCGCAAAACCTGCCCAAACTTGCAAGGCGAGCGCGCGCGGCGCTGCGGCGAGAGACGCATTGTTCACAGGGCCCGCCGTCCATCCGCCGGGCGCCCGCCAACGTTCGCAGCGACTGCGCGCGTCGCTAAGGCGAGAACCGCATTCGGGCAAAGACCCGCCCCCCCTGCGCGATGCCCCAGCGGCCGCGCTCGACGAAAGCGCGCGGCGCGGATGCGAAAACTTCAATTTGAAAAGGGCCCGCCTTCCACCCGTGAAATTCTTCCAAACTTTCGAGACGGATGTGATCGGCATTGCGGCGAGAGGTTCCATTCGAACTAGAGCCGCCCTCCATTTGCGAACCCCCTGCAAGTTTTCAAAACGAACGCGCGCGGCGCCAGGGCGAGAGGCGCATGTTCAAAACGGCCTGCCCTCTATTATTGAAGCTCCGTCAAACTTTCAAGGCGAATGCGCGCGGCGCTGGGGCGAGAACCAGCATGGAAAAGGGCCCGTCCTCCATGCGCGAAGCTCTATCAATCATTCTGGGCGAACGTGCGCGGCGCTGAGGCGACTGGCATTTTTCCCAAACCTTATTTTGGTGTTGGGTCCTCGTTTTGAAGAGACGGTGCCCCGCGTGCTCCTCCTTCCTTCCTCCGCCTCCTCCTCCTCCCCCCCCTTGCTTTTGCTCTTCGCGTATCTCTGTTTCGGCGCGCCCCTCGCACGCTTCGTGGCCCCGTGGGGGCTTCCACCGAACGTCCCAATGGCGCAGCCCGCATGGCGCCGCCGCCCCAGTGTGGCACTCCTCGCACGTTTCGTGGCCCCATGTGGGAGCCCATCTAAGTAAGGCCGCCCCATTTCGGCACACCCTTCGCACGTTTCGTGGCTCCATCAGGAGCTCCATCCAAGGTCCCAGTGGCGCAGCCCGCATGGCGCCGCCGCCCCATTTCGGCACGCCCCCCACGTGTTTCGCGGTTCCGTAGGGGGCCCCACCTCAGGTCCCAGTGGTGCAGCCCGCATGGCGCCGCCGCCCCACCTTGGCACAGCCCCCGCGCGTTTCGTGGCCCCATAGGGGCCCCCATCTAGGGCCCCTGGGGCGCAGCCCGCATGGCGCCGCCGCCCCATTTGGGCACGCCCCTCGCGCGTTTCGTGGCCCCGCAGAATGCTCAACCCAAGGTGTCAGCGGCGCCGCCCCATTATGGCACGCCCCTCACACGTGTCGCGGCCCCATAAAGGGGGCCCCATCTAGGGCCCCAGTGGCGCAGCCCGCGCGGCAGCGCCATCTCATTTTGGCGCACCCCTCGCACGTTGTGGCCCCATAGGGAGCTCCATCTAAGGTCCCGGTGGCGCAGCCCGCATGGCGGTGCCGCCCCATTTTCGAACACCCCTCACACGTTTCGTGGCCCCTCACACGTTTTGGAGACCTCCTTTCGGTCTCGTGGACTCTCGCCCTGGGCCGTCGGCTGTCCAGCGCGCTGCCCCCTCGGCCGACGTCGCCCGGGCGCGATCCTGGACTGCGGCCGTCACGAGGTGGGGAACGGCGAGAAAGGGGGCGACGACTGGTGGCTAGAGCTCTGCGCGCTGCTCTCGCGCGCCACGCGCCACGAGGATCTCGTGCTCACGCGGGCGCCGCGCATCGAGTTCTTCCCGGCAGGGCCGCCGGAGGGATTGCAGAAGCAGTTGCAGCAGTTTGCTACGCGCGCGAAGCGGCACAGGAGGGAGGCGACGGCCTTCGCCAGTGAGCTGGGCTTCACCGAGTGCATCCGCGAGGCTTGACTTGAAAAGCGACCCGCCCGAGCCTCGCCGTCTCTCGGCGGTCCGATTGTTTGGCTTCGCGCCGCGGGCAATCCGCGCGCGTCGCTAGAACCCTTTCGGGGCGACCGGCGTGCGTCGCGGGGGCTCCGCGCGGGGGCGCGCCCGCGGCCTCGGACATGGGCGCGCGCGGGCAAAGAGGGGGAATAATAACGGGGAGGAAGCGGGCGCGATCTTCGGGAGGAGCGCGCCGACATGGGCGTCGACGTTGCTGCGCGTAGATTGATTCGCACGCAGACTCATCCATAATGAAAAGATCACTCGCGCTCTGTCCCTCGCACGCAGACCTATCGTCTTCGCTCGCGCCGCGCGCCTCGCCGCGCATTTCGGCGCGCCCGTCGCGCGGTTCGTGGTCCCATAGGGAGCGCTGGCAAAGATGAGACTCAGAATTGCGGCATTCACAACCGCGCATGGTCGGGCCCTTCGCAGGGATAATTTCACAAGAAGAACACGCCCGTTATCCGCGAAGCACTTGCAGTCTTCAAACACCGAGTGCTCGCGGCGCTGAGGCGACAGTGGCATTTTGCATTGAAACGGACCCACTTCCATCAGTGAAGTTGTTTCAAAGTTTCGACGCGAACGTGGGCAGCGCTCATGTGATAACCGCATTTCGAAACGCGGCCCGCCCTCCATCCGCAAAGACCCAACACAGCTTTCAAGGCGAATGCGCGCGGCGCTGGGGCGAGAGCCACATTTTGAAAACAAAGAAAAAGACCCGCCCCCCATGTGCGAAGCCCCTGCGAACTTACAAGACGAACGCGCGCGACGGCAAAGCGAGCGCGCCTCGAAGATGGGGGCCGCCCTCCATCATCGAAGCTCTTGCACGCGTTTGGAACGAAAGCGCGCGGCGCTAGAGCGAGGGTTATATTTGAAAAGGGCCCGCCTCCCATCCGCCCGAATGTGTTCAAACTTCTGGCGCGCCCCTCACGCGTTTCGCGGCTCCGCATGGAGCTCCATCCAAGGTCCCAGTGGCGCAGCCCGCATGGCGCCGACGACCTGAACCAGCACGCCCCCCACGCGCTTCGTGGCCCCATAGGGGGCTCCACCTCAGGTCCCAGTGGCGCAGCCCGCATGGCGCCGCCGCCCCCATTTTTGCACACCCATCACACGTTTCGAGGCCCCGTAAGGAGCTCCATCTAGGGTCCCAGCGGCGCAGCCCGCATAGCGCCGCCGCCCCATCTGGGCGAGCTCCAGCCACCAGTCGTCGCCCTCTTTCTCGCCGTTCCCCACCTCGTGGCGGCCGCAGTCCAGGATCGCGCCTGGGCGACGTCGGCCGAGGGAGCAGCGCGCCAGACAGCCGACGGCACAGGGCGAGAGTCCACGAGACCGAAAGAACGTCTCCAAAACGTGTGAGGGGCCACGAAACGCGTGAGGGGTGTGCCAAAATGGGGCGGCGGCGCCATGCGGGCTGCGCCACTGGGACCTTGGATGGAGCCCCCTATGGGGCCACAGCGCGCGCGAGGGGTGCGGCAGGAGGGAGGCGACGGCCCTGGCCACGGAGCTGGGCTTCACCGAGTGCATCCGCGAGGCTTGACTTGAAAAGCGACCCGCCCGAGCCTCGCCGTCTCTCGGCGGTCTGATTGTTTGGCTTCGCGCCGCTGGCAATCCGCGCGCTTCGCTGGGGCCCTCTCGGGGCGACCAGCGCGCGCCCCGGGAATTTCGCGCTGCGCTCCGCCCCGAGCCGCGTTCGCCCCCGTCGTCTCTCTGCCCGGCGGCCGCAGCCCTGCCCGCTATCAACCGGCCAGTTAGCTTTCTCTGCTCCGCGCAGCGGACGACCCGCGCGCGTCGCCGGGACCCCGTCGGGGCGACAGGCGCGCGTCGCGGGGGCTCCGCGCGGCGACGCGCCCGCGGCCTCGGACATGGGCGCGCGCGGGCAAAGAAGGAGAAACACAACGGGAAGGAAGCGGGCGCGATCTTCGGGAGGAGCGCGCCGGCATGGGCGTCGACGTTTATGCGCATAGATTGATTCGCGCGCAGACTCATCCACAATCAGATTTGATTTGCTCGCTCTCAGGGTCTCGCACACAGACCTATCGTCTTCGCTCGCGCCGCGCGCCTCGCCGCGCATTTCGGCGCGCCCGTCGCGCGGTTCGTGGTCCCATAGGGAGCGCTGGCAAAGATGATTCAGAATTGCGGCATTCACGACTGCGCATGGTTGGGCCCTTCGCCATGATATTTTCGCAAGAAAAAACCACCATCCGCGAAGCACTTGCAGTCTTTAAATTATCCTGGCGAAGGACCCAACCATATGAAGTTGTGGGTGCCGCAATTGTGAATATCTTCTTCGGCGACGCTCCCTACGGGGCCACGAAGCGCTGCGCTGGGCGGGGTGGGGGGGGGGGAACGCGCGCGGGCGGTGGCACTGGGGCCGTCGGCGAAGCTCCCTATGAGGCCACGAAGCGCCGCGCTGGGTGGGTGAAAAAACCAAATGATACCGCAGAAAAACCCAATCATATATTTTTTTTAGGGCTGTAGGGCTGTAGGGCCATATGGGCAATAGGGCTATTTGGCTATAGGGTAATAGAGCTACAGGACCATAGGGCCATATGGGGCTATAGGGTATAGGGATACTAGGGCTATGGAGCTATAGGGCTATACGGCTTTAGGGCTATTGAGCAGTAGGGCTATAGGGCTATAGAGCTATAGAGCTCTCAAGCCGTCTCGGCGCAAACCGTCTCGGCTCAAGTGAGCCCCGGGCCGGCTTTGCTGGTCTCTGTCGCCGCCTCCCCCGTGGGCCGGGGCGCCAGGCCGCGCGCTCACCGCTCCTGTCCAGAGGTTGGCCGCGGCGGAGTCAGCTCGGGCTACCATGCGCACCGTGTTATTTCCCCACCATAAGGATGGCGCTGCCTGCCGATCTCAGCGCCCTCCTTGCCGAGTTCATTGAGCAGGACATCCGTCTGCATCAGCAATTGGTTTCAGCGGCCGCGAACGCGGGCGACAACCAGATCCACGCCCGCGAGGAGATTGTGAACTGGAACCTTCTCGGCCAGCTCCTGCGGGCCATGGCCCACGACACATCATCGGCAGACCCCTGGAAGCGGGTGGGCATCGCCCAATTCGAGGGCGACATCCCAACGACAGAGTTGTTCGACCAGCGGGTGACATTTGGGAACTTGATGCCCACGTTGTCCCACAACCCCGAATGGACGGAGGAGGACAAGGTAAGGGCCCAGACGTTCGCGCAGCAGCTCGAGGAGGCGCGGGAACAGTGCTCCGCAGACCTCCCTCGGTTTCTCAGGGAGCGGCGCATGGGTGCGGAAGGAGGCCCCGATCCCGCGATGGCAGGAGCCTAGTCCACAGTTGTTCTCTTTCCTATCGAATCAGGCGTGCCCCACTTCCCGCCGTCTTGCGCTCCACCTCTCCAACCTCCAGGGGGCCAATCTCGCCGGGGCCGCCGGCGCGCTCCCAGTCGAGGAGCGCCGGAAGGCTTACCAGATGCAGTGCAAAAGCCCGGACACAGCAAAGGAGTGGTTGGAGACGATCGGGGAGTCGGACTTGGTTATGCGGGCGCCTTCGGACAACCACGTCTTCCAGAGCCTCATGGCCACGCTCACCAAGCATATCTTGAAGCAGGAGCGCCCACCCAGCATCGCATTCCTCGTTCCGTTTGTGCCACTTCCTGGCTGCGACGCCCCCGAGTTGACCCTCGACCTGTGGAGCCGCCCGATCTTTGCGCAGAAGTACAACAACATGATCACCCGGACCGAATTTCTTCGGCAACCCACCCGTTGCGTCTTCCTTGGGGCGGTCGCCCCTCTCTAACACGTGAAGAGCATTGCGGCGGTTACAATCTCAGGCTCAGGCCCCGGCACGCCCATGCAGACGCTGAACTGGCAACCCACGTTGGCCACCCACGAGCCCGGTCACATCATCTGCGTGGACTGCGCATACTCCGAGGAAGTTCTAACGCACAGGGCGCTTATGATGGCGTCGATGCGGGGGCTCACGCACTGGGGGGGGCCCTCTCCGGAGCCCAGGCTCGACAGCCAAGGGCCGTCGATTGCTTTTCATGGGGATCTTCAACGTGGGGGCGGTGACGGCGCTGGACGTGCGTTTGTTCATCAACCACCTCAAGCAGCAGGGCAACCTTTCGGGGGTTCTGATTGGAACGAGGTCGCGATTCAAGGACTCTGCGGGGATGCTGATCGACATGGGCCACGCGCGCGCCGTCTCCCAGCTGTCGCATATGACGGACGAGGTCGCCCTGGTGAGCCGCCGCCTCGCGATCATGAAGAGCAGCCGCACGGCTAAGGACTGGGGGCGTGAAATCACCGAGCAGGTGGGGAAGTTCCCGACGGAGGCCATCGAGGGCATTCGCTTCCGAGGTGCTCGCAATGGTGGCCGGGCATGGGTGAAGCCAGCGATTCTCGACGCGCAGCTTCGCGCCGCCAGGGCCTGGGAGGCCGCTGTCGATATGCCTCGCCACCAGAAGGAGCACCTGACGCGATCTGTCACTATCAAGGTGGCGGGTTTCAGCTCCAATCGATCGGGCGTTTCGCTTGGGATCCTCATGGAACAGGTTGCCAGGCTTGCGGGGGTGACGCTGGAACGTCGCTCGGCGGACCAACCCCTTTTGGACAAAGAGTGGGATCTGCAGATTGCGACGAACGGCGTCTGGAATGGCTCCATCCTGATCCAAATGCCTGACCTCACAGCCGCCGCTGCTCTCCGAGATTCGGCCCAGGGGTCCGGGTTCGAGGTCGACGGTTTGCGACGCGCCCTGGAGGCGGAGATCTACCTTGCGCCGCTGGGCCCCCCGTCGGCGCTGAGGACTCAATGACTAGGGGTACCAAGACACATTAATTCAGAGGGGATGCCATCTCATGGAGATGACCTGCATATGGGGGATCTTCCGTATTCAGCGAAGCGTCGTCGCATTTCTTCCTCCGATTCCTGCTCCCTTTCTCGCAGCACGAACACAATACCGCATCCGACGTAATTGACGGTGCCGATTTGCCTTTTTATATTCTGCCGAACGCGGAGGCCAGCTTGCAGTTTTGCAAAGATCCGCCTGGTTGCACTTGGAAAGGGCAGGCGCTGTTCGCCAAGAAGTGTTATCGGCCCCATCCCAAAATGAGACAGGCCTTACGACTAGCACGACGACACGACTTTCTGATGTTACAGGAGACCCACAGCAACATCGGCAGAGCGGAAGCCTTGAAACTGCCGGCTGACATGACAGCTTTTTGAAGCGATGGTACGTCGCATCAAGCGGGAGTTGGGCTAATGGCAAAGCATTCGTTCCTCGCGAACTTCAACCCTGTGGTGCCGCAAGATATGGGCGGAGGTCGCGCCTGGCAGGATCGCGCTGCTACACCTCCGGGGCCCCGCCGGCGCCTTGGACTTGGTGACGGTATACTTGCCCACAGGTACACGAGCCATCTCGGAACGCATTGCAATGCTGCAACGCCTCGGCTTGCACCTGCAGGACCGCCAGAAGGTGCCCGCGATCATCGCGGGCGTCTTCAACTACGTCGTTGCCGAACGGCACTGCGTCAACAAGGACGCCGGAGCTTTCAGGGGGGACGGGGACCTGCTCGACGAGTCGGCTTTCCAGGAGAAGCCTGCTATGCAGCATGGCCTCCAAGACATGTATCAGGCGCATTTTACTTGTGACTCCTCTCAGGCGAGGCCCCGGATCGACAGGATCTACACCAACATGCACTTGGTCGACCAGCTCCACCGGCACTGCTCCAGCGCGGCGTTGCAATGGTGCGAAAATCTATCCTGCCATCGTCACCTCGCCTTTTCGCGGCGGCGATCGGCGCGCCGCAGCGGCTCTACCATCCCGCTCCCGACAGCCCCCATGGATGACCCAGACTGGCTTCCCAGAGCCCGGCGGGAGTATGCCGCCCTCCTCGCTGCGGACCAGCGCGCTATGCAGCCGCTGGGACGGCTGCTACTTATGAAGGAGGCTATGCGGCAGGTTACCACGACGATGAACGCGATGTCGCAGGCGGCCGCGGCGGTAACTACAGAGGACAAGTTGGGCTGGGCCATGTCCTTTTTACGGGCAGCTGACGAAGTGAATCTACCTAGGACGTCGGCGCGTGCCCAGGCACATGCACTTTTGGCCGCGCTCGCTGACGCGGGCAATCCGACCCTCCGCACGTCCAGCGATACGCGGGTCCTTCGCGAGCACATCGTCGAGCTCGCCCGCCAGGACATCACTGACGACCTCGCGGCACTGCAAGCGGACACTTCCACCGAATACCAGCACCACAAGGCCCGGCCTAAGGAAAACATTCTCGTGAAGCTTCGCCGACTTCTGCCAGGGACATGTACCGGGCTCAACGCGATGGCCGATGAAGACGGCGCGTCGACTGCAGATCCAGCCGAGATCGCGGGGATTATGCGCAAACATTGGGCCGAGGTATTCTCCAGGAAGACCATCGACAGGACCCTGTTGTCCAGTTGGTTGGAGGATACTTTCAGGAGGGGTGAGCGGGGTCGGGTGGCCAGCGGGCTCAGAGACACCAGCTCTCCGAGTTGCCAGGTCCGCCGCAGGGGCGTACATCGAGCCATGAAGCTTTCTGGCAATGGCGCCCCGGGGCCAGGTGGTACCCCCTACAAGGCGTGGAGGAAGGTGGGCGACCTCGGCGTCGAGATATTATTCGAGGCTGTGCTGGACCTCGCAAAGCCGGATGCTGCCGCCAGGTTGCGATCGGCCTACGGCGCTGAGGAGCACGACTTTAATTTGTCGCTGTTGTCCTGCCCCCCCAAGAAGCGGTCCAGAGTGCACGAGGAATTGGGCGACTATTGCCTCGCCTCTGCGACCGGGCCCCTGACCATCGGCAACGCGGACAACCGCCTGGTGGCCAATGCCGCCCGATTGCGATGGGAACCGATTTTCAATGAGTGGGTATCTAAGGTTCAGCGTGGATTTTTGCGCGGACGTTCCATGTTGGCCAATATTGTCGACATCGATTTCGAAGCAATGCGGATCAGCCTGACGAGACCTTCCGGGGCGTTGGTTTTCTTCGACTTCAAGGCGGCGTTCCCTAGCGAGGACCGCGAGTACCTATGCGCGGTCTTGGAACGTCCCCGAGCACTTCCTTAATCTTATTCGGGCTCTTTATGATGGCAACCGTTGTCGACTCATTTGTAAAGGGGGGGACTTCGACGGCTTTGGGATCCACGCTGGTATTCGGCAGGGGTGCCCACTGTCCCCCCTCTTGTTTGCCGTCGCGGTAGACGTTCTCTTGCGACGCCTCTTCAGAGCGCCCCCCGACGCCACCTTCAGCGCTTGCGGATGACATTGGAGCTGCCTTGGAGGACTTCCTGAAGGACGCGGGCGTGATGGATCGCATTTTCCCAGAGTTTGCTTCGATTTCGGGGCTGCACCTACTTGGGCTTCTTAGACGGGCCAGGAAAACGGCGAGGTTCGTGGTCGAAGGCGCCCGGTAAATTCCTTGACCGGCGCACCCTCTGCCTGGAGGTCCTTCGCTTCTTAAAGATAAGAAGCGGAGCTTCGCTTCTTAAAATAAGAAGTGAGATCTATATGCATGCGAGTAGCGTATGATCAGCCAAAACGGCTTGAGCCAAAATGGTACCGCAGCGGATGCCGCAGTGGATGTCTTGAGCCAAAATGGCTACGCGAGAGGACAAGAAGGAGGGAGGGAGGGAGGAGGAGGAGGAGGGAGGTCCTCCCTCCTCCTCCTCCCCTGCACCTCCCTCCTCCTCCTCCTCCTCCTCCTCCTCCTCCTCCTCCTCCTCCTCCTCCTCCTCCTCCTCCTTCTCTTCCTTCTCTTCTCCTCCTCAGTCTCGTTCGTCTCCTCGCCCTCCTCTCCCCACCCGCGGGTTCTGGCTCGCGCTCCTGCGTCGGGGAGGTGGTCAGCACGTAGCCGCGGGGCGCGGGTGGGCCGAGGGCGTCCCTCGTCGCCGCCGCCGTCACCACCGCCGCCGTCTTTGTCGTGGAGCCACGACAAAGTCGCGGAGGGAGGAGGAGGGTGGGAGAGGAGGAAGGCGAACGAAAAACAAATATCTTCGCTCGGACGCAATGCTTGGCAATGCTTGGTGTCGGCGGCGGGCCCCGTGCCGCCGTGAACGCGGAACCCGTGCGGAGGAGCTAGAGGGGGCGAAGGGAGATCATTAATGATAGGAAGTAGGTAGATCGAGGGGGGGAGGCGGACACTGGGATCACTATACAAACCAGTGTCTCGATCAATCACCGAGCGCTCGCTTCCCAGGCTTGCCGATCACTTTTGACCAAAACGCGAAGAAATGGTACGACCAAGTTGATCTGTGCAATGTTGCTGCAATATCAGCTGCAGTGCCATTGGCGCTCTCGTCCGTGAAGGTTGCCTGTTTGCTCGGCCTCCCCATGAATTTGCTCCTGGGGGAGAGGATCGCAAAGAATCCAGCGGCGTCCCATGGTGTCCCGAGTTCGTTTCGGACCCTAGGGCTGCGGTGGGTGTTAACAAATCTTGCCCCACTCGATCGTGTTCCCCCCCCCCCTGTGTCCTCCAGGCCATGTGTAGGCCCAGATGTTGCTTCGGTAGAGGGTCGTATTTACACACAGCCATGTACCTGTTGAACAACTTTAGGCAACCTAGCAGATCCTCAGGATCGAAAAAAAAACAAAGGACGCCAGAGGAGGAGGGGAGGAGGAGGAGCGGAGAGGAGGGAGGAGGAGGACGATGAGGAGGAGGAGGGAGATGAGGAGGAGAAAGGAGAGGAGGAGGAGGAGGAGGAGGAGAAGGAGGAGGAGGAGGAGGAGGAGGAGGAGGAGGAGAAGAAGAAGCGGAGGAGGGGAATGCCCCGTTCCTGCACTTCGAGTGTTCGCATTGGTCTTGTATTGTTCCTGAGTATAACCATGAGTTTTAGTAAGGCGTCCCCTGCTTTTTTCAAGCCTGTTTTATCGACTGGCAGCTGGTACTTGTCAAGCAAGTGACGGCAAAATCGAACAAGTTGTCTGCATTCGGCAGCTTTTGATCGCACCATATATCTGTACTCCTCGCCCATGTTGTGAGACGTCCAATCTGATATCTTCGAAAACCGATACTCGGGGTCAATGGTGGATTGAGCGCTGTACCAGTTCATGAGTTCGGTTCGTATGATCAAGCAAGAGTTTTCCACCAGTTCTTCCTTGTTTGTTCTGCCACCTTGCCCGTCAGAAATTTTGAAAGCGTCGCACAACGCCAAAGTCCATAGCACCGCTGCGCAGTATCTCTGGTATATTCCCAAGTTCAACGTATGTAAAGGATCTATAGCAAGTACTTCGATACCTACACCTGTAAACAAGGAGAACAACGGGTTCCTGTGATGCGTCCACAGACCAGGGTGCCATCTCCAAAAAAGAACTCTACATGGAAATGAATCTATCAGACTGAAATCGCCGACGTCATGCAACTCATCGCTTGGTTCAAGGCGATCGCCTACTCGCAATCCCAAGGCCTCCACTGGACGTATTAAGGCCCTGCCACGACCGCCAAATTGAGCTTGCCGTTTTCGTTTGTCGTACCTGAGCGACGCCAGCACTGCAGAGTGCACGGCTTTAGTATCGAGTGTGACCCAAATCTCACCGAGCTTGCAATTATCCAAATATTTTTCTGTTGTCTTCAATTCCCATGGCCAATTATCTACAGTCACGCCCTGCTGCTCGTGCCAATGTTCTTTAGATGCGAAGCAAAACATGCATGGGGCATCAGCGCTTGACCACGAAGGGAGCCCCAAGCTAACTGCGAACTCGCTCCAATCACCCTTTAATAACACAACCGCACCTCTGACAATTGAGTTGCCAGCTTCGGACTCTCTGGAAAAGTCTGAGTCCTTCCAATCTTGGCCATCGTGTCGGCATGTGGGCATCAGCCCTTTGGCGAGGGCCTGCAACGACCAGTCTAATGTCGAGAACAAACAATGTAAAGAACACCACTTCCTGCAGCCACAAGCGCACATGAACGATTTCCGCACGGCCATGCATAGATGTTTTTTTTTCTGTGAGCAAGTTGTATACCCATATTCCCAGAAAGCCGTCGTGTTTATTGAACGGCACGCCGTCCAGGTAGAGCGCCAAGGGTAGCACTGTGTTTGGTGGGCTAGAGCGCACGACTGGATGTTTGAGGTAATTGTCAGCCCATTCTTTATTTGTGATGCTTGCGTGAAGTTCCTGAAGTATCTCTGGTCGCTCGAGCACCTCTTCGTTTAAAGCCTCGTGGGGCGGTATGCATGGCGTCTCGTGTTTGGTCCTGGCAGCTTCGTATTTCGAATGCCCAGGAACGTCCATCAAATAAAACTTCTGTTTGCAACCTGGTAGTTTGAGGTACGAATCGAACTTCCGCTGAAAATGTCCCGATTGGCTCTCTGGCGACAAAGCGAGTTTACCGCAAGGCCCACATGCGCCAGCTTTGCTGGCCCAATAAGCAAGCACACAGCATGTCTTGGATGATATTTTTCCATGCAGTCGTAGATCCACCAACATTTCCGCAAACAAATCACCAGCAGCGGATTGTGACAAGTTTTCTGTTTGCTCATCTGAATCGGAATCGCTCTCCCATTTTAAGCTGTAGTCGTTTTTTCCCATGCATGAGTTTGATAATGTTCCCACGCGTGATATGTGTGTGCGCTCATGTATTGAGCCCAAATGGCTACTAGTGCGACGGTATACAACGCAACGCCATGTTCAACGATCACACCTGGTACGATGTTATGTTGTTCGTTTTGTTTTTGTTTTTGAGATGTTTATTTCTGGGCTATATCCGTTGTGTGCCACGCTTTCAGGCGAAATTGCTGGAGCAACTCGTGCGCAACCACGGTGGAGCTCTCGCGTGGGCGGTGGGCCCGAAATTCAAACTCATGCACGCGCTCAGAGAACCTCACCACTCACGCAATCTCCACAAACTCCAGGCCAAACCATTGCGAGCGGGGGGTCTGGACAGAGCACGCGGACCACACGCCGAACAGCGTAGTCTTCGCATCGACCACGTAGCGAATCCCACCCTCGATAGGCCACGACTCATCGCCCATGATCAGATACGCTCTCTCCTGGCTCACCTGCTTGCATTTCTGATACAAGATACCGCAAGTAATCGAAGTGGAGCTGGAGTTGAAATTGAGGCAACAATTGTCGCACCTGTGGCAACCGAGCTCGCGGCATGTCTCACACTTGTACCTGCAGCTCTCGTACACGGAGGCACCGATAAAGTGGCACACCTGAGGGGCGATACAAAAAAAACAGAAAAGTGGAGGAGGAGAGGGTACCCTCTCCTCCTCCACTTTTCTGTTTTTTTTTGGAGGGGGCGAGGATGCGTGGTGGGTGGGTGGTGGGTGGTGGGTGGGTGGTGGGTGGTGGGTGGTGGGTGGGTGGTGGGTGGTGGGTGGCGGGTGGTGGGTGGGTGGTGGGTGGGTGGTGGGTGGGTGGTGGAAGTGGGTGGTGGAAGTGGGTGGTGGGTGGGTGGTGGGTTGTGGGTGGTCGGTGGGTGGGGGGTGGGTGGGTGGTGGGTGGGTCTTACTCTTAGATTCTATCCCGAGTAACCTGCGAAGGAGGCGGGTGAAAGGGCTGGTAGACGCGACTGCTGTAGTCCAAGCTGGAGTGGACCGATGTGTTGCTGTCGAAGCCCACGACGTCGTTGGGGAAGTCCTTGATGTGGGTGTTCGCACCAGCCACTGGTGTCAAGGGGAGCTCCGAGAGATCCACGATGAAGTCCTCGAAGCCCTTGCTGAAAATGTCCTTGCACCAGTGCTTGCCATAATCTGTCAGGGCTGCCATCTCCATGTTTGGCAGACGGCCAATCGGGTAGATGAGGCCCTGGTGGGTCGGCCTGCAGGAACTCGGGCATACACTGGCCGACTTGCAGTGCACAAATGTTTCCTTCACGGATTCCACCAAGGACTTGGAAGCACCAGCGACTGCATACCTCACGTTGATGCCATCTCTGATAGCGATCCTGCCTTTTTGGGTTGACAATTGCTGGCTGTAGTACCTCTTGCAACACCTCTTGTGAACAAAACGCTGGCTCTCAGGGTGTCTGCCTAGGCATATGAAGCACGTGCGAAGTTTGGTCATGGACGCTGGTGCGAAACCTTGGTTTCAGAAGAACCTCGAGCCAAAAAAACTGGGGACGGACCAAAATCGGCGAAAACACCGGTTCGAACCGGTTCGAACACAACCGGCCCCAGGGGTCCCCAGTTTCATGGATTTTCGTGTTTTTTTCATGGATTTTTCATGGTTTCAGGTTTTCATGAAATCTGCCCTTTTCTGGTGTTTTTGTATGCAAAATAGAGATTCATGATTTTTTCATGGTTTTTTTTCATGGTTTTTTCATGGTTTCCTGGGCCCTGGGGTTTCCTGATTTCCTGGGTTTTTCTTGCCCCGACGTTGGTTTGGCCTCGGGGGGAGGGGGGTTCGAGGGCGCGGGGGCCGTTTGGGGAGTTGGAGACGAGGTGGGGAGGGCTGAGGGTGCTCCAGA